CGTCTAAAAAAACGAGCATCAAATTAAGAACGTTGTACTAGAAATCGTTTTAGTACTTCAGTATTCAATTATAATTTAAATTGTATTAAAATATCGCAATACCAACAAATGAACACAATGTGTTCTAATAGTTTTTCGATTATTATATTTTTTAGTTCTATAATGAATATGTTTTTTTCGTTGTTCGGCATCTACACATATTTATATCGAATACAGCAATATAACATTTCAGACGGCTTTTGTTTTGTTTTTTAAAATTGTTGAAAATAAGCATTGTTATTATTATTATTGGTTTTGTAACCTATAATACACATACTTATATAAAAATGCCTGTAATGAATATTTTACGGTGTGGTGACACGTATTTATAATTAATAATGCAAGCAATATTGAGGTCAAGACGGATATCGTGAACATCATGTTAGTGAATTTAACCATTTAGATATGTACAAACGTTATTTACTTCTCAGAAAAGTCAAAACTCGTAGTCCTCGGATAGGATTTTAGTTGATATGAATATTATTAAATCTTAATGCGAGACCTCTCGTGTTAACCGAGTCACTACCATCACGAACACCACTTTTTATGAACCGATCATATGTAAGGGAGATCGGAACAAGAACTCAACTGACGATTGGTGAGATATTCAGAGTCAGGTCACAATACCACTCATCTAACACCTTATTATATTTTTTGCATTCTAAGTTACGTTAAATAAAGATTTTTGTACACTTAATACATCACTTTTGCACAATAATATAAGTCTTAACACTCTTAACTATTTTATAATGACATTCTAATCATGATTTGAGTCAATAATAGTGTTTTGTTTTCGTATTGAGTTTTGTAAAAATGCACAAATGTAAAAAAGAAAAAAAAACTTCAAGATAATATATTGTTTTTACCTACCTATAATTAAAATAGATGTACCTTTGCTGTTTATAAGTAGTACTATGTGATTGTGTATAAGTGCCTGTGGTCTTTATATGGAGTTCTGACTTTTTTTTCTTCCAGTTAATAATAGTTTCAATAGTTCCCTTAACTTGAAATAGCAAAAAAATCTTCTGGAGCTTATAATCATCATATGTCTAAACTAAAATATGAATTATGTATCAATTATTATAGGTAACATATTTTATTACATCCTAGAGACCAACCTATTTGGCACCGAGATGACGTTCTATTAGTGGTTGTCATCGGTTAGTGTAAAGTGTTGCACTGTTGCTGAACTACAATCAACGCTACCGACCTCAACGGAAGCTAACTAAGAACACAATTATTAAATATAACTCAACCTTTTATAGAAATCAATTTTTTATAAGCTGTTAGTCAATCCATTACCATGTCAAATGACAGGGGAGTCAACTAATTCGTTTGCGCACAGTGTCCTATTAATAATAGTAATGATAAAAATAATAATCGTAAAAATAAAACGGTCAATAAACCTTAAGTCACGACTGAGAAAAATTATATTATTCTAAGACGCATAATAATATATTATACACTGTTATCGGTGCCGGTTTTCGTTATGTTAGCCGACCAAAAACCATCACCTGGGTTCTTAGAAATAGTGTCGACCGCCCGTCGCACACGAGCGCATTAAGGATAACGTCTCATCGTCTGCATTGTTAATTCGACAGCCGTCAGTGAACAGGATTCGCCAGATGAAAATAATGATGACGGCAACACGTTTAGGAGATAAAATTGATAGCACTTTGGGTACCTATATATTTACGTACGTATATATAATCCGACCGTATAGGGTTGGATAATGTTCAAGTTCAGTGCATTAATATCTATTAAGAAAATAACGAACCTTTTTATATTGCATCACGTATTACTACTGTATTTTGTTTAGATGTTTAAAATATAAAAATATAAAATAATCAACAAATTCAATTTTCGTGTTCAATGGTCATTACTTTAATTTTTTTTTTTTAAGAGCTGGGCTTCTATTTTTATGCATTCAAGTATTGTAATCAGAGCGATGGGTTAACCTAGCTCAGAGGTAGTGAAACTATACTATACGAAATTATATTTTTTTAATTCCTACATCTCGAATTTCTTGGTAAAAACTATTGAAAAAAGCATTCAGTAATTCATCCATTATTTCAAAATAATATTAAAGTTACTATTATATTATAATATTTTAAAAGTTTGACATTGATCGCCACCAGACATATATTTTGCATTGAGAAAATTGATTCATTGGATATATACTTAATAGTTGCGTCAAAAAAGTCAAAAACAATAAACAATGATAAACAAGAACAAAAATTACACATTTAAAACAGAATGTTAAAAGGAACTTCAGCTATAAATTAAAAAGAAGATAAAAAATAATATTTTTGAAAACTAAATATATCATATATGGTTGAAACGAATTTCACCCTCCCTTTTATCCAACTATTCCAAAAAAAATATAAAAAAACATATCATAAGTGGCACGTTTATATTTTTTTTTAAGTTTTCATTGGAAAAATTCGAAATTAGTTTATAACCAATCTAGCCCAGAGCTGAAATAAAAGAAGGAGTTAAGAGAGATATAGCCCGGGGAAAAATGGGGCTTAGAATATTAATAAACAAATACATATAAACATACTTTTGTAAATGGAAATTTAAAAACGATGTTCTATTTTTATATACAAATTTTAGACCAAATGAAATTTCATAATAATGTGATACAAAAACCATGAATAGACTTTTATCATTACTCAAGCAAAGTGTACTCTTGCAAAGATTTATTTATTTTATTTATTGAAATAAACGTCTAAGTTTGCTCAAGTATGGAATAATAAATATTAAAATAATAACATAATATAAGTAATAACTAATAAGTATAATAACATATTATATTATAACAACATTAAATATGTAATAATAAAATTAGTTAAATATAATTAAAACTTAAAATATATATAAGAATTATGAAAGAAGTGATAAATAATATTCCAAAAAAATATTGTAATATTTATTATACAGTCATACAGATATAAATAATCGCAAAACAAGCATTAAACCGTTTAACACTATTTGTTGTGTTATTATTTATATTATATTTATACAGTTTTATAGTATATTAATAAACTACGCTCAGGAAAAAAATGGTTTAAAAAATATGAATAACGTTGACTTTTAACATGGTTAAACAGTCGGTTTTGAAGAAAAATGTCTAATAAAAAGATCATCGTAAAAACTGGACAAACGGAAAGTTTTTGTACCCACCATTGAATTCTCCGGGATAGAAATTAGGTGATTTGTATATAGTTCAAGAATCAAGATTATTCTTTATTGATTACAAAGGTTAGGTTACAGATATCTGTCTGGTATTCTCTTGATAAACTCTTTAATTTATCCTGGTCAAAAAAACATGAATCGTTTTTTTATATCCTCAGAAATCAGATCATGTTTACGCTATTTTATACAGTGACCTTTGTAACAAAATTATAATTAATGACACAATGACCATGGAGTATATTCATAAGTCGATAAGTGTAAAAATGATGAACCTACCATACAAGTATCCTCTGGCGCCTAAAACCTGTGATATCATTCGTTGTTTTTATCATTATCATTATTATTATTATTATTATTATTATTATTATTATTATTATTATTATTATTATTATTATTATTTATAATATTAAAAATCTCTAATTAACTCAATTTAAAGGTACCTATAATACTTATATTTACTGATGTCATATATTTTTGTACACTTTATCGATAATCCAATGACACACATACACATATATAGTTGGAAAAAATAATTTATTATTTTAATTTTAATGCACTATCATAAAATAAGTACTATTATAATATAGTCATAGTTAATGGATTGGATTGCTTTACAGTTTTTCTCAAGAGTAAGTTTTATTTCAACACTATAAATTTGAATTTTTAATTAGATGGCTAAGGTAATAATGGTATTCAAATTAATTTTATTATAATTAACCATTACATCAATTTGCAAGATATTTACATAAATATTCAATATAAAATAAATACATAGGTATTATAAATACCTTTAAATTGAGTCAATCAATTTCTTTAATATTATAAATAATAATAATTATAATAAACATAATGAATGGCATCAAAGGGTTTAGGCTGCTCTAAGGGTATTTTCCTAGGAGTTTCATAGTTGCATTAACCGACTTAGGTTAGTGCACTCAGAGAGCAGATCATCACAACATTCACTATAAATTCGTTTCAAGTCTTGGTTTCCTAATCAACGCAGGATAATCTTTATTACCGATATACAACCAATCCAAATTTTGTTTTGAAAAACTCAGTACGTTTGTATTGGTACTTCAAATTTTCTTATCGTATTTTTGATAAAATTATATTTAAAACAAAAATAAACTTTTATCTCATAAAACTAAATTATTGTTTAAATTTAGATCTTATACAACCAAGTAAATATTATTCACTTATAGTATAATACTCAACTTTAGAAAAAATCAGAAAAATTATTAAATTACATATATAGTTTTAACAATTATAAATTAATTCTTATCTCGAACATTTCAGAATTTGAAACTAGTAATTGTTAATTACAATTTTTATTTAATTTATCTTAGTAAAAAAAAAATTGATCGCTATATAGTATATAGAGTATTGGCCAATTAACTATTTAATTTATCATAAAATACAGTATATAATTTTACTATAATATAAACGTATACAGTAAAGTTATTCCAAGTATTCATCTTTTTAATTTGTTATTATTATCTGGACTCAATCACTACTAATAAAATCCAGTGTTATAATATCCAACTACATGACTATAAAAATGATTTAGATTATTATATAGGTTTATTTAAAAAAAAAAAACAGCCATAGGAAGAAGAATGTCAATTTATTTAGTTTCGTTACATTTAATCTTATGAAAAAAAAAAGAATACATATAAAAAAATGTTTGCAGGTATAAAATATTAATAAAAATAATATTGTTTATATATTCTATCTTATTTGGAATTGAGTACAAAAAAACAATTAACTAGAAAATAAACTAAGTATCCTTATAATAATAACAAAAATTAATATATGCTGGCGTTAAAATTGTGAAGAGAAGTGCACTATTCTGCATACATTTATGTATAAAGTAAACATTTATTAAAAAAAAACAAAACAAAACCACTAATAGGATTACTTCAAAAAATTAAAACTCATACTACAATGTGTATAAAAAAAATTGTTTAATTGCTTTGGTCTCAAGGAAATCGCATTAAATATAGTTCAAATTATATAAAATCTATATTTAAAAAAAAAATGTCTAGGCTACCACCCAGTTTGTGAAATGTTCACATTATGAACAATATAAAAATATGCGTAAATCGTATAAAATTAATTTTTTTAAAACAATACTGATGCATTCAATCGATAGAAAGTTGTTTGAAGGAACCTTCCATTCCAAATAAATCGTCATGGGTCTTCGGCTTTCCAGGACGTCGGGACTCGTCGGCTTTGATTTTTTCTTGTTCCTGGAACCAATCCTTGTAAGTCACCATTTTTTCGTACCATTGGCCTAAAGTAGTAAAAACAAAGAAAAACATAATAATATAATCATGCCCTGTAATAGCAATTAACTGAATAATTATTTTAATATTACGGTTAATGTCAGCTATCGGTCCAGCTTTTCCTCCATATTCTTCTGGAAGCATGTCCCTTGGTACAAATTCGTTTAAAGAGTCTAACGACGAATGTACGTGGATCTATATGGAAGGGACAAAAAATTAAAATATGGATATATGTAGTTCATAATATATAAATATCATATTGTATTTTATCTATTAAATAGAAAAAAAAATACATAAAATAGTGATTCTATTGTACAGTTAATTACCCTGTTACGTATTTTCTCTTTGAGGAATGGCTTCACAAAGTTGATGATAGTATCAACAAGTGGTGAAACATTTATGACATGCACTTCCTTTAATTTTACTGGATAGGCTTCCTAAAATATGAATGAAAGTTGATTAATAAATTCCTATGATATATATTTTTTCAATTAACACTTTTGCTACGGTTGAATGATTATTTCTAAATTATATACACATCAAATCAATTAAATAATATTCTAGTAAAACCAGTAGATCGCTTAGAAGAAATTTGAAATTTAATTCTTAAATGGATATTAACAAGGTTATCAAATATATTATATTATTTTTAATCATGATTTAATATTTGCTATAATAATTTATAAATGTTGTATCATACAACGATTATAAAAATATAATTCTTATAGTTGTATTATTAAAAATTAGTATAAATACGGAACGATGTATTCCTAGTTTTTCGATCTCATTTATATTAAAGAAAAACATTTTACAGAACGCCTTAAAATCTAGAAAGACATGCAAAAAAAAAATATGATCAAAATAAAGATATCTCCTTTTTTTTCTAATGACATATTTTTGTCTGTTATATCACCTTAAAACTTATATAACTTAAACGAGTGATTTATTTATTAATTTAGTGTTCTGAACTCGATTTTTTTTCTATCATTATTTTGGCAAACAAGTAAATGTTCGCGAAATTCCATGCTAAATATCAGTTCGATGTATAATATTGTACACTATGTTAATTTTGAAAGAAACGATAATTCATTAGACTTAATATAGCATTTGAAAAACAATTATTTTTCTGAAATTAATCGCTATCGAAATACAAGGTCAGTTTACTACACATTCTTTTTATTTCAGTTCTAAAATAATACATTCGTAGATAGATTTCTCTTCTCATCAATTACTAGAAAACACTATAATATATTATTATGTTAATATTTTATCAGACATGTTTCTTTGTTAATTAAATCAGTGGACATTATTAACGCTAAAACGGGGCACATATTATTGTTATTACAAATCAAACATAATATTACGTAATAATCTATACCTGTACACAAATGAGGAACTTTTTGATCAGAGATGGCGTAAACTTGGCAAAGTGGTTGGCGAAATTCGTTGGTGTGGCCACGCTGGCATCCAAAATGTACACATCTCCAGCCACGCCAACGTTTTCCTCCTTTAATCTTATGTCACCGATCATCAACACTACTTTCATACCATCAGCTACAGTAGCGGCCATTTGTTCCAAATCAACACCACTCATCATGACCACACGGCGTCCATTTGGCGTCAAACCCGGAAGTGGTGGTACGTTTCTGAAACACGACAAAACATAAAAATGCAATTAAAAGAAGTATGAATAATGATATTTTCTGCACATCGTGTTGAAGAGGCTAATACTATATGAATATCGCAAGCTTATTAGTAATGCACATGCGTTAATGTGAGGCTTCTAGCTCTTTATTCTGCAAATACAATAGATAAATTGTAAGTTGTAAAGCTTAATTCGTTAGTAATTGAATGTTGGTTTTTAGAATTTTTGAGTTTGTTAATTCGAGGTTATAGTCAAAATTAACCAAGGGAAAGAGGCTAACAACACACTAAGACCCAACTTTATAACTCAAAATCCTAAAATTCGAACAATTCAGCAGAATAGAATTGACTTAAGTACCTCTTCCCCATTATCATTAACTCCACAAAAATAACTGTTAACAAACAATATATTACTGTATAATATAATCATATGATAATAAAACGTATGTACATCCGTAAAAATGATCAAATTCTGTTAATAAATTAATATAGTAAAATATGCAGTCGTTAGGTAGTGTGTAGACTTAAGATGTATTATGACGTAATGTACCTAATCGAAAGTAGAAACGTTCATTAAATATAATGAAAAATATGGAACGGTAAGTGTATAGAAAATAATAACACTACACACTACAATCGTGCATGTTGGTACCTATTTAAGTAATACAATTTAACGAAAATCGATATTCTAAAATATGACAATATGTTCTTAAAAAATTAAATATGAAAAAATAAAAGCGTGTCTTATTCGTTTAGTTTGAAAATAACAACATAACAACCGTGACGATAACAAATTAATTATTATGACACCGAGCTCGATACACTGTGTAAACTATGTAAAAAAATGATATTGTTATCGAATATAATACTAGTGACTGCAGTTATTTATGTTTATAAGAGTTATTGATAAATATTATTGTAATTAGTCGACGAATAATATTCACTATTCAACATTTATAGTATACGTATATGATTTCACATACCATTGAAATTATCTTTTTACTTGTTCTACAATTTTTAAGTGCATTTAAAATGGAAAACATATCTTAGTTTTTGAATACCTTACATAAACTACGTTAGACATATTAATATACATACGCGATTCTCATTATTTCTTTGATTTCCGGTAATGTTGGGTCTCGGTTACTGAAGAACTCCGGTACAGCTGCTCTCATTGTGAAGTACATGTCCAACTTCCTCTTAGTCTTTTCCAGAGAGAATTTGCATCCTCGGAGGAATGTCATGATGCGAGCATCGTCTAAAAAATAGACAAAAATTAGTAGAATACATAATATTGTATTTTACATTTTTCCCGTTGAATCGTTAAGAAAAATTTTTCGACGGCATTGAAGCAATAATTTAAGGACCCTAAACAACTTAATAATATAAAAATGAAAAAAAAAGTTGTAAGTGTTTAAAATAAATCATAATTAAAAGCCAATACCTCTTGAATTACAATATCAATAAATTTACGTTATTTTTTATAACATGCTTATACGCGTTAGTTAATTTATTATCTATACACATGAAGTAAATGTATATTTTACATAATTATAGGTATATTAATACAATTATATATAATATTTATTGTGCTTTTTTTTTTTTTTGAATAAATTTAAACTAACTGTTTATTTTAGAATACTTTGATATTAAGTGCTTGTATAAGTGATACCAAAATTGTATATATACTAGTTACAAACTTAAAAAAAAAAATTAATTTTTAACTAGACTAATTAGTTTTATTGGTCTAATTATTTAGAAAATGTATTACTAATTTAATAGCTTAACTAATAACTAATTAAAATAGCAAATTGTAATTTATATCAGCATAACTTTTTATGTTGAAATATATAATGACATTTAAATAATTTATAATATTGAATTAAAAAAAAAATAATACATTAAAAGAGCATTTTTGACAAAATATTTAGTTATTATTGAAAAAAAATATTGAAGTTGCATAATTGCTAAGTAATATAATATATAGTTTAAGTGTTATTCGAACTTAAGTCGTTTAAAATATTTAAGTATCTATATTCATTATCTCGAAAAATTTATTTATTTGAAAATATTATTTTTGTATAATAGAAAAAACAAAACTTTTAAAAAAATATATATTTTTCACGATTTTCTATTGTAATATTTTTTCAAGTTTTTTGAATATATTTCAAACGATCACATCCATTTTTAATTTTATATCTGGAAAAAGAATATTTTTTGGTGTTCTTGAATATTATGTGAAAATCAAATTCCTAACGAATAATCAATTGAGTAATATCTAAAATGTATAGTTGACTGATCAGTGGATTAGAATGACACAAATCAATCATAAATAATTTTACTACATTTCGAGATGAACTGCGGAGCTTACCTTGAAATTGCGGCAAGTGCGGTTGCAAACGTAACCATTCCTTGATATGTTCCAGATCCTTCTCCCGGGTCGACACGTCTTCGTTTAGCTCAGTGCGGATGTGCTGTTGCATTTCCATGGTGGGTTGTACGAGAGTCATCTTGTCGGCTGCACAGAAAACCAATAGCAATTACAAACCGAAACCGAGGAATACAGTGACTATGTCGACGGCGTATAATAATAATATGTATGCAAAAATAATATGATAAAAACAATTTATAATAGAACGATGGAGGATAAAAATCACCGTCCGAAAGAAAGAAAAACAATTATTATAAAAGTAAACCCGGTCAGGACTACAGCCAGCTGATACTGCACGACAAAACCACGCGCAACTATGAGTAGGTACACGTCTTCGGTGTAATAATAATAATAATAGTAATAGTAATACGAAAGAGAAAGTTACAGCCGCGCGCAGTATACGTATTATATGTACTTAAAACAGTTATATATATACACACACGTTATGACGTGTAATGTGTGTAGCTGTGTAGGTAAGAAAAAATTAATAATAATAATAATAATCGTTTGTTGCATAATAATGACCACAAAACCGACTCCGTCACCATGGCCATCGTCGCGTACAACCATCTCCGGATCCGTTGGGTAACACGTCGTAATACAAAAATATTTTACACATCTAATAATACGAGACATTAGATATATTACAAGTGCGATCACATTACACCCGACATCCGATTGACCTTCCGCGGACGTTCGAATTTTCATCAAGGCGCAATTTTCCGTGGTCTTGCGTTCGATTATCGCCGTACCGACAAAATCACAACACTACGCTAACATCATAATTTAATACCTGGGTATTAATTGTTATGTTTTTGTTGTTCTCTGGTACGGGTTTCACACGTTTCTATCCGAACCTATCCTGTCAATGTGTAAAGGTCGTACGAAATGTGTACCCATAGCTAGAGCCGATTACCGATGGTTGTCCTTCACACGCTACTCGAAAACATTGCTTTTTTCACGATGATTCGCAAAATATGACATACACATGTCAATATTTTTAAGTGTCCGACATACGTCATATTATGGGAAATACACGAAAATATAGGCGCGCAAGAGATTGTCGAGACGGAAGACAGAGTCCAAGGACGGACACGCGCGCGGGTTATCAACAAACATTTTTCAACAATTACAGTCGAATACACGAATAGTACCTATTTCAAATACAATAATATCATATATTGTGTAATATATTTGTTTTAGTTTATTTATTTCACTGGGTGTTTTTTTAAAGTATTTGTGTCTTCTATTTAAATAAAATATTTCTATTCACTGTAGTTTCATACGCATTATTCATGTTTAAGTACTTTTCGTGTTTAATAACAAGATAGGTAATGTAAATAAGCACTAAATACTTTTCATTTTTCACCCTATCTTATCATCAATAAAAAAACAACTTGTATTCGTTTCAAATCAATAGTTTGTGCTCTTCCGCCACTGTTAAACAAATGTCCACTACGAACAGATACTACCTCATGCTTAGACTATCTCAAAACTTTCAAGTCGTACAAATTCGAAAAATAATTGGTCGTTATGAACGGCGATTACTTTTTTTTTAATAAATAATTATAATATTTATGCAATCATTCGATATAAACAATAATTTTTTTTTTTCAAACGCATATATTATTTTGTACTTGTATTTTATTCGATAAAAATTTAAGTGCGAGTAGCTTACATTTTTTATTTAAATCCAATTTCAAAATTATTCACTGTTAAGGTATATACTGTGGTGTTTGACGACGTTTATTTTTAAAATTTAAATTTAATCGCATTTTAAAGCTGTGGAAAGGGTGCTAATGAGATGAAGTTTGTACATTTGTTAAGCGTCGCCAAACTATAGTTATGCATCAGGGGTAGCCAATATTAATAGGTTCGTGAGCCATATGGATAAATAAAATTATACCAAGAGCCTAAATGTTTACACATTCCATATAATTTAATAATTTTTTATAAATGTAAACCTAAAAAATTAAAATTCATAGTAGCAATAATAATAATAACATTTTGGTTTCATAAATAGTCACATCTTACAATGACGTAAACCTTCTGTGACTCATGGTTCATGAGTCGCAATTTAGCCATCCTAGTCTTATGTACTTATATATTAATAAGTAATAACCAATACCAACGCCCGGCGAATACAAAACGTAACAAAAATCTTATCATAAACACTGTCGCAATGAAAAAAAAATAACATTTACTAGACGGGTATCACTTTCTATACTATTTGAGGCACTCGAGATTTATCAGCAGAATAAATAGTAATATTTAAATATAAGTAAGATAGTTATTATTTTAGGAGGTACATACGTATTGATACAACAACGTAATAATACAAACAAACCGGAATCGTCAGCGAAATAGTGAGCACATCGCAATGAAAAAATTGACGTAACTAAATAAATTAAAATATTATGTACAGGCAATATTATAATAATATATTATTATTATACTAGACTATTATATCAGCGTCAAAGTAAACCGCCGATAGGAGAATCGTTCCGTCAAAATCGGCGGCCTGAAAACGAAGGAGGGAAAAAACGAAAACGGCGTATGTGCGTACGTAGAATACAAGCGATAATTACACAATATTATAATAATACGATTTATTAAAATTTAGACTTCCTCTATACGCTATTTTAGGACTAGGTCATCAACAACGTAAGTCGGACGACGCGTTAACTGCAGCGATTTAGGTATAACTCAGCAATTTAATTGATATCTTGGTAATAACCAAAACGAGCCGTACTATACGGAAAAATAAAGTTCAATAACATGTCGTTATCAAGGCTTGAGACTTACAGAGCATTTTCGTGTTATTTTGTTAGTTATGCACCCATGTCCTAAACTATGTGATATGATAGAAGCACGTTTAAAGGTACCTACGCTATAAATTCGTTTCATACTAATAGAAATAAATACCAAGCGGCTTTAGTGCATATTTTTGCATATTTTAAGGTATTTACATTGTTTTTCTCTATATTTTATCATTATTTTTATAATACTCATGCGTATAGCCATAATTAATGCAAAGACCTGCACTGTCACTGCGCGTGAAAAAAAATCCTCCTGGTGCTCGTCACGGTGATTGACGAACCTAGCATGTTATAACACGATTTACTTTGGGCGATTCGTTGCAGACGACGAATACAAATATTTTCTAATGCAGTATTAAATACCGTATTCATTATCTTCATAATTAATCATTTATTTTATAAATATCAGCAATGGGCTTGTATTTGTAAACAGTACCGACTTTTAATGGAAATAATAGCGATTTAAAGTTTACGCGCGGGTGTCACCAAACACTTGTTCATTTGTATTAGCACTGCGAATATTTATTAATTTTATCGTTCACCAATTTATTCGGTAGGTATAGTTTGTAAGTATTTTCGGCGGGTACAGAATTTATTATCATAAAAGTTGGCCCAAGTTAGAATGTCTTTAAAGCATATTTCTTAAGTTACCGCAGTCATGTTGCATAGATAATATGACTATAGCAAGCATTTCTTAAGTGTTTCAAGCCTGAGTCACCATTTTCAACGCACCAGTGACGACTGATCGTGAGCCTCAACATACGGTCTTGCCGTGTGGAGGATCGGGTAAGACGGCGTTTGTCGAAAACTGTGTGGAACGACGCGTGTTGTATTTCTTCTGTAAGCCATTGCCATTGTACAACGAGTCGGCGCGTCATTACCACATCGTCAGTTTCAATTACGAAATATAATAAATTATTTTTTATCCGAATAGAATCTCGCATACACATACACGCACGCATGCATCGGGTAATACGTCGAGATAAATGCGTATATAGATGGTACCAAAAATAATTAAAAAACATACAACTTAAAAAATATTATTCCATTGTGCCGCTTCTGTATAACGCAGAAAGAGAAACTCGCTGCTTACTCGTGATCAACAATATTACGTTCGCATATATTTTTTTTTATCGTAGACACCTATTATGTTATATTGTTATCTTCTGTATAGCGACGCGCGTTATGTTCCCCGACAATGTACGTTTAATGAAATTTATTAAAATTGGCACACGATTTACGTAAAATAATGAAAAAATGTTTTCGAAAACAGCAAATAACTATTGACAGACGAAATCTGTCTCACGGTTCTGACACGTTTAATATAATAACAATAATAATAATAGCTATATGGGGTGGGTGTCTCTTGCCAGGATAATCGCGGTGATAAGGATAATATGATTATAAATTCATAATTTTATCATTGTCGCCCACTAATAACAATAATTACAATACTGTAACAAATATTTTTTTGCAACCGAAATAAAATGTACTAAACACGCGTACGCGGTGGATAAAATATCCTTTCACTTAATCACGATAATTCGTGTTCGTTAATAACTCTCAAATCATCGATATAAAATAATATTTAAAATTACGATCTTAGTATACCTAAATGGAGTAATATACAATTTTAAATTTTACTGTATCCATAGAATAATAGACGGGTTATAGTAACGCACTTAAGACTATTTTAACTTGATCGTACAAGACATTTACCTTTTGTGAATTTCTTCGACGTAAATCCGCTATAGTTTCTGCACAGTTTACCGGATACTAACTTCGGTGTTCCAGCGTGTGAATGCTTATCGTATGAGGACGATGGCAAAGTGTCGATCGGTATGAAGGTATACACGGTGGAAGCCGATAGTGCGATGGAGTAGGGAAAATACAGTGCCCACGGGGGAATGATGCATAATATAAATATATGATATAGACGACTTTCACTCGCCTTGGGGGCAGCAACGACATAGACTTTACGAGATTGCGTAGATTTTTTGTCTATTGTGCACGTTGATAAATTGAATACCAAACATTTACAAACCGAGGACAAAAAAGATATATAATTCACAAAGAATATTAATAATAGTGCAATAAAGTGATAATGATAATAATTTTATGATAGGTCTGTATCGAATTTTAGGTTTAATCAAATCACCGAACTACGAAATGTTTGGCTTGAAACACCGTCCGATTGACCGACCTATATGGGTAACCTCTAATCCGCTGTTTCGATAAACTTGACCTGCAGTATTCGACTTAAAAATATATGCACGTCGTCATCATCGTTATAAATACAAAATGTTCAGCCAAAATATGCTTATAATAATATATTTTTGAATTTTTTTCTTCCATTAATATTAATTAATTGAGTTTTTCTGTATAGTATGTTTGCAACGGTATCATTATCGAAAAGATTTCATATACATTATTATTTTCAACGTTTTTGTTTATTATTTCATCAGATTTTCATAAAAAATTGCGTGCACATGTTCATAATCAAAAAAATAAAATAATTTTACAATCACAAATTAAAATAACCGTAACATAAAGATTATAATAAAATATGTAGTGCATCTAATAGCACTGATAAAGGATATATTCTATGGTATTCTATGGCATAGGTGTACCTAATAATTTATATAACCTACTTTGAATTAAAAACGCGAAAAATTTGAGTTTGAATGTCATCTTGGTGAATTATTTACGTAGATATCAACACAAGTAGTTTGAATAATGATTTAAAATCTATATTTTTTGTTTATATTACTATAGTTAAATCGATTATTATTATTTTTAAAATAAATAACATTTAGGTAATAAATAGATATGATGAATATATATTTTGTTAAACTTGCAGTATTAAATTAATTGCAGGCAATACTGAGGACAACGATTATTAAATATATACATAGGTAATTATTAAATTATACGAGAAAATAAAAAATGTAAACAGCCGCACAACTCGTGTGCATTAAAATATATTAAATTTAACGAAGTTTTGATGCATTACGTATGTTGTACTGTTTCATACAGTGTATTTAATATTTTAGGAAAAGATGTAAATTTTAATGTTTATTAAAAACCAAAATAATTACTATTTAAATAAAATTAATTATTATTTTATTACACAGTTTTATAATTTTTCAGACAAGCATAGTGAATATTTTACTATATATTAATTCATTTTCTGCTCTAGACATCAGTAAATACAATCGAAACAATTAAACGTATCGGTGCAGTCACCGTATCTACGTATTACGTACAGTATTAACGATTTGAAATTGCGGCTAGTTTTTATCTAAAGAAACAAACAATTTGCAAGTAATATTATAACCTCACATATACGAGTATATTCCACGACGAAACCACAGTCCACAACTATTTTATTTTTAAATTAATTGGTTCAGTAGATTTATGGAGTGACTATAGGTACCACTTTTTAAAACAGTGAACCTTCGCCTACATTTATGACGATTATATTCTACAAATATTACAATAATATAATTTATATAATTATTCTTGACGAAAAAAATAATATACAATACACTTGTTGACGATTTTAATAATGATATTTTATCTCATGGCTTACATTGAAAATAATGGAAAAAATTTTAAATGCTCATCTTTATCATCTTTCATTTATAAATCTTATGTATTACTTGACAATGATTTAACATTTCAAACTTAGGGTAATTTGGCCACAAAAACAATACATTAATAAATTATGTCTACACCTTTCTATATTTATTGCTAATATGAATACATATCGTTAAGATAATTGCATTAAGAAACAATTAAAATGGGAAAATTTAACAACATAAAAACGTTATTGATGAGTTATTTTCCTAGAAAATTCTTGCCATTTGAGTTGTAGTTTAACGCACTATATAGTATAACAGTGAACAATATATATAAATTATAAGTATAACAATAATGTGTTAAACATTACTTGAAGAAAATATCTGGTGATTATGATTTCTCTTCACGGCCGCATTGAGATATTTAGTGACTAGTTATAAATGGTCTATTTCGAAATCTCCTTAATCTATCTTGATTCTTATGAGCAATAATTATAATTACGACTGTCTTGATTAATGTACATGAAAATAAAGAGATCTTATTCGCTAATATAAGTTTATCAAAACAAGTGTATTATTTCGTTTTAAAGGAAATTATCTAATAAGTAAAATTAAGATACATAACCATAACACACCAACAGTATTAATTCAATTAATTGTATTATTTTTAAACTCAGCGAATATATTTTTATTGTTTTATGCTTTTAATTCCTTTTACACTACTTTTTCTAAATCGATAATAAACAAATCATATGCCATGTTTAATAAAAATGCATTGCAAAAAAACATAAGTATATCAATCAAAAAAGTATATTTTAATCTATCAAATATATAATTATCTACAAGTTTATGAAATATGAAATGGGAAATTGCTAATTAGATAAATAGTTATTATAAATTTAAATCTCAAATAAAAAAAATTAGTTTTAAAAAAAATATGTTTAATTTGTTTAATTCATAAACAAAATAACCAACCAAAACAACTTATCTAACACAAATACAATAATATTATTCAAAATATTATATGATGAAATAAAAAAAAAAACTTCACAAAATCCAATATACGACACAAAGAGCACATATTTTTAAAAGAACAAAACGCTAAACTAAAACAAATCAAAGAATTACATTTAAAGGAAAAAACCCAAACCTTAAACAAAATGAAAAAAATTATTTTAGTATTAATTGTCTAAAAATTAAGCATCAAAAAATTATATTGATTCTTTATAGCTAAAATAAAGCACTAATTACTTACTAAAAACTGTATGTATCAAGCATTCAGGATAATATACAACATATTTTGGTTAAATATCAACGATACCATTAAATTTAATATGTTCAAAAACCTCGCCTTTTTCTTTAGGCAAAATATAAATCTAAACCATTTAGTTATTACTTTTTATAATCAAATTACTTTTTAATATAATTTTAAAAACGTAATACAGGTATTTTAAATCTTTAAATGACAACTTTTTCAATAAACTTTTTTATTATATCACTAATAGTTTGTAAATATAATGTAAATATTTTGACCATTGCTGCTAAAGTTATAAAAAAAATATGAAAAACAAAAGTATATTATTTAACAATAAATACTCAAAAAATGAAAGTACAATTAATTATCTAAACATTTATTGCGTGTAGATATACTATATTTAACATTTCAGTTTTAACTAATTCTTAGCTATTGTATTTATCTTAAATTAGTTTATAATAGTTTCAGTAAATTGAAAAAAAAATCGTATAAATATATATAAATTACACACAGGCGTTATTATTCTTACTACAATATTTTTCAATGCAGATACAGTTTTTTTTTTTTTTTTCTATGAATTGGACAGCTGTCAAAAATTAAATAACAGTTAATGAGTATATTTATTATAGGTAGACACATTAAAACGTATAAAATTACTTAAAAAAGAAATTTTTTCTGTTTATATCAGTTACAAATATAATAATATTTAAAATAAGTGAACTATAAAGATTATACACACTGATATAATAATAAAGTAAAAGTTAAAAATAACATCTTAGAATGTATTTATTATTTATGGTATTACGATTTACCGAAATTAGTTTAAATGCATTCAGAACTTAATAACTCTGAAGATATACTTCATAAAAATATTTTACCAAGTATCTCAATGTTATGTATTAGGTTCCGAGTCATTTTGATTTCACTCTCATAAACCTTATATATATATATATTGGATAATAAAATGACATAAAGTAGAAATCGTTCATAATGACGCCGGTTATCGTGACTTTGAAATACGAGTATCAATGTTAATAATTATGTATAATGTGCGTATCTAATAAAATAATTTTATTATCTTATCATACGGTATCATGTAAACAAAAAAATTCTTGTGTGGAATTTAAATCATTAAAAAAATAAAGGTGTACCTCAACGAATACTAACCGTTAGTTCAAAAAAGTTGAAGATAATTGAAAAAAAATCAGAGTACCGTGGAATTTCATACTTGGTGTTAGAACCTGTAAAATGACGTTCAAGGGACCTAAAAAATAGATATTTACCGATCAGAACCGATATTTATAAAATAAGTTATAAATAACAGTATAATATACATTATACTATATTTAACTATGAAAAGTTAAATTTGATTATTATGTATATATCATTATAAATAGTAAAGTGTATTTTTATATTTTTTTAAATCTTTAAATTTATTATTTTTTTCTAAGACGATACTGCACACTAAGATAATTAAAATATATTTTATACGTATATTATATGTATCAACATTGATGTTTCAAAACAAATATTATATAATATTGTATACATTTAATTGCACAAACTTGGAATATTCAATAATTTTGAATAAATAATCTTCAACATAAAATTATTATTATATTGATTTAGACTGATACAAAATATAGTAGGTACATAATATACGATAAAAATCATATCTTACTATTTTTTTTTTTTTTTTTTTTATAACTTTAAATTTAAAAAAAATATCATAGTGCTGTTGTAAATTGTATACTAATGCAAATGAGTGAGCTTAAAATTCATTATTATTGCCATTTGAAAATAAAAATTCTATGTATTAAGATACCTAATTTATAAATATATGTTTAATATTATTTTCGCTAATTTTTTAATCACATCCTTAGATAACTAAAAATTGTTTTAAAATGTTATAAAAATTGTTATAAAAAAAAAATAAACTTAACATCATTATGAAAAAATAATTCATAACTTAATTTTTGGTGTCCTTAAAAGATTGACTAATTTTTAACA